AGAGAGGAAGGGAGAAAGAGAGGAAGGAAGGAGACCCCTTCAGTTGGACGACGGCACTGGCCCGCTGCCCAGGCAGCCCGGGAAAGCAGGTCACACAAGCTCAGAGAGGCCATTTGCAGCTCCCCACCCTGAGGAGCAATGGCGTCTTCCTGGGATCACATCAAGTTCCTCACCGAGTTTTTCCGACTGGAAATCCGAATCAATGTTGCATATACTATTCACACGCTTATGTCAAATAAGAGGAGGCACTTAAGTGAGTAGAAAATGATAGTAACCGCAATTATTTCATATCTCTTATACTTCCTGGGAGTTTTCAGCGCGAGTTAAAACAGAAGGGAGGACAGGACATTGTCTCTAAGCATTTCTTGGGCACAGAAGACAGCTGCTGCTCCACTTCACCCCGGGAGGAGGACACGTCTCTCTGCTCATGTTGCTACTGATCGCATTGCTCGTGGACCGATCGAGAGACTCCTGGATTCTGAGAGGTGGCTGATGTCAGGGCACGGCTGCCTAGGTGCTGCTCCCTGGCTCAGGACACTGAGCGCGTGGCTTCCCATCTGTTTACTCAAAACCTGAAATCACAGTAACCGTCTTTATTGAGTCCAACTTTTTACTGCTATTACGATAAACGTCGAGGAGCCTGGCAGCATTTCCGGGTGTTCAGACACCTGAGGTTTCACCACTGCTCTCCAGAAACGAATGCTTGTTACAGGGAAGACTGAGGACATTTGAAAAAAGAAGTGTCACAGTGAACAGTCAAAAGCCTGCCTCTGAAGGGCCATGGATGCCAACCTTGGCAGGAATTGCTCTTCTGCGGTTGGCAGTCCTTACCACCCATGGCACTAGACCACAGAGTCTATACCTGGGGTCTGCAGCAACTCATGCAAGTATTAAATTATAAGTAAAATACTAGTTTCTCTTATTTATTCTAAAATCCTGCCCTTTTGACTTCAAAGGGCATCTTTTGTGGGTGCCGAGGTCAGAACTATAGGGCTTGGGACCACACACTAGTATTCTCTATTTTTATTTTTATGTAAGAACTCTCATGAGTCCATCCTCATAGGAAGATTTCATCATTCCATGGAAAGTTATGATCTCTGTTCCACAGAAAGACAGGAATTCTCTTTACACTTGTGAACCTGCCAATGCTTGGGATTGTGCTGAATGAACCCAGGCATCCCATCTGTCGAGGAAGAAAAGGAAGCTCACACTGCTTTTCAGTGTCATGAATTATCAGGCCGTGTGTCCAAATGGCCAATCCCGATTCTTTTTTTTCATTATCTGGGCCTTTAGGAAAATTCTCTCCTGTATTCTACCAATGTTGAAAACAAAGGTCCTAAAAGCAATGTAGAAACATCTCAGAAATATTTGCAACTGCTGGGACAGGTGATATTTGTACACCTCTAGTTGAAGACATGAAGACTGACCACATTTCAGGGACTTCACAGGAAACATGGAGGAATCATAAGATGAATTGTATCCAGAATGAGCTTGCTAAGTCTCTGTCTCACAAGGTTGGCTTAAGATCTTGGTATCAGGAGAAGAAAGATTCTGAGACAGGTTCAAATCCAGGACTTCTGAAGTTAAAAATACCCGAAAGAGAAGCCTCTGGTTGTAGTAATGGCACAAAGACAAGATGCAGCGATCATGTCTCTTCCAGTGGTCACTGTGGAGAGGGGGCAATCACTGGTGCCCTGCCTCTGCCAGCCTCTCTCCAAACTATGAACCCAATCTGCACAACTCTCTTCTGCTGAAAGAGTCTCTCTCAGATCAGATGCTCTCTAGGGATGCTCTAGGTTTTGACATGTAACAGAAGAATACCTGTGCTTTCTTTTTGCCTCATCTATGCAGCTATTTAAAGTGTCTGGAAGCAACCTCCACTCCAAGTTTTAATGTAAAGCTAAATCTCTCTGAGAAACTAAGAGACACAACTGGGCCACTTCAAATATGCCTCATTTCTCATACAAAGACATCTTCTGAGCATTAACACTCACATTCCAACTCTCTGGGATGTTCCAGTGTCAGACTGCCGAACTACTCTTAAGAGTGCTATGGGGTGGCAGGGGGACACACACTTCATCGGTAAGGGCACCTGATCTCAAACCAGGTGAAGGGCGACCCGAAGTGAGGCCCAAACTTCACCTGTACAATGACCATTTGTATACCTGACCCTGAATTGAACCCTGTATCTTTAAAATAAAAATTTTTTAAAAAGAGGGCTATCTTGTCAGAGAGGGTCTGACAAGAAGGAACAGAAACCACAGAAGAGAAGGATGATTAAAATCTGACTTGAGTAAACTTTATAATGGTGTCAAAGTGATATGCACTCAGTAGAAGCCATAATTTAAATTTTGCATTCTGAAATTTTCCTGGGCTAGTGATACGGGATATGGTGCTCTCCTGTGACACTGGGCAGCACCCGTGGTCAAAGCTCCCTTCGAGCCACGAGACCACAAGGGTGGCAGCCGATGCTCTTAAGGTGTACTGTGTGGCTGGGCTTGGTGGCTCAGCCTGTAATCCCGTGCCTTCAGGAGCCTGAGGCGAGTGGATTGCCTGAGCCCGCGGG